CTAATCTGCGACGAGGTCCACAGTCATTCGTGCAAGCAAGTACGCAGAAAATGATGGGTATCATTGCATACAAAAACGAACTTTACATTTCACCATGTGACCATGGCGAAAGTGGTTTAAAGGTAATACAAAGTTTTGGTATGGGGTCATGAATTTGGTTCAAATGAACATATTGGAAGCACAAGCGATCCTACAATACTCAGTGATCGTTGTCGCGGTCTAAATCGAGTTTAAAGTGATGAAATTGTAAATAATGAACTCTTTATGTTGTATAGCGCCCTCTCAAGGTCAAGATATTAATTTATCTATAAAACATTGTTATTTGACTGAAATCGACCGATTTGATATTGCCATTTGAAATATATATATCACAACTGCATATTCTGAGATTTTCATGGTCGCAGCTACCATCGTATGGCCGTAGGCGCTATTTGAAATTTATCAACATTTACCGGGAGCACCAGTAAATTTTATATTCGATTTTTCTCGAAAGCAGAAGTGTTTTAGGGGCTAATTTTTTTAGTGGTTATAATACATCCATAGGTGCATCCAAAGATATCAAAATTGTAAAGAATCACTATCCAGCCAATTTTCAAAATTCACCAAAACTTTGTAATACCTTTAACAGATATCTTATCACTCAATTATCCATATTTCCTATCTTGTGAAGTCATATCATAATTGTCTTCAAATAAGATCATCATATTTTAAGCACTTCACACTTCTATTTAAAATGACGTTACGCCCTTTTCCACAACAGAAATTACATAAAAGCTTTAGATTATAATCCGCCAACTCAAAAGCGCAAAGCCATCGGTTATTCCCGACTTACTTCGTACTATCGGGTTGGATTGTCGGGTTACACGACCTTTCGTGAGCAAATACACACAGCAAATTCACGAAAGGTCGGTTTTTCCAAGATCGTCCTTGAGATAAGATTAATCTTTCTGCATGTACATTCATTTTTTGAAAACATGCCCATACAATCAGACAATCATGAAGTCTCGATAGCTGGCCTTTTGACGGACACTTGTGATTTTTTTTCTCGTATCAAAAGCTGTCGGGTCGAAACGTGAGTTTTCGTAGATTTTCTGTAGGCCTTTCAGAAAGTGTCGGGTGACTGGACCCGAAACTGAGGCAATAGACGTTACACCGACCATTCGTAAATAAGGACTCGTTAAAAAAAACACGAAATTTCATGTAACTGGAAGACACGAAGACCTGATAGAACGAAGTAAGCCTTTAACCAATCATAGTCACACCACAAACCCACTCTAAACCTACCAATATTCGACAACCATCGACAAAATGTTGTTCATTCGGTGTAATATGTTAGTTAGTTCGGTCTATTATCGGTTTATTGTCTCATAGTTGCTGATGATTTGAGTGTGACTGAGGTACTGACCCGGTTTTCAAGCTCTTAAGTTTTATTCTCCGCCGCGTAATAGCCATTGATTTATTTTCCCATAATTTAAGAAGAGCACCGTATCCTGCTTTCTCCTTCATGAATACATCTAGGTCACCGTGAGCCTGCATCAACACAATCGGTGTAAATCACATCCTCTTATGGAGTGCTATTGCCTTACATAGTCGCATGGACACCACTTTAAAAAACTGGTGCAATTAATTGGGTACAGCGCCAACCAATTAAGTTAGTGAGGTTAATCGGCTTTCCTAATATCTTTACGCCTGAACTTAAATGTCGAGTCTCACCCCGCTTTCCGGATTATGTAGCAAACTTTGAATCTTGAATCTTGATATATACAGTGGTGTAAAAAATACACACTTTGAAAGTATCCTACAAGATTATAATTTCACGATAACTGCATTTTTTCCTTATGAAATTATGGGTGCGGGTCTATTCAATCGATTGGCACTAAATGTATTAACAATATTTTATGCTTGAGTGAGCACTTAGTAATTACGCGAAACTCGCAAAAATTGGTTCGCCCAAAAATGTCTTAAATTTGAGCATATCAGGCATCAATAATTGCAGTTACTCTGTTAACTATCATCAATATTTCACCATGCAACATATTGTTCCTTTTGGTCTTAAGACGTTTTAGATGAATTGGAAATAAAACAATTATAATTATGTTAGGATTTCTTTCTGTCCCTATATTCACTCATTCTAACAATATCGAGACAACATTGGGTATTGGTGCAGATGATCTGTGCAGGAAAGACATCCCCCGCAATAATGGACGTGGTGGTGGTGATGGGGGCAGTGGCGTATTCAGCATTTGGGTGAAGGCTAGTGGAGCTTTTTAAAGGGCCAGGTAAACCTCAGCGAAACTTGTTATTGGGTACAAGATATGGGTTGCACAGATATATTTCCTGTACCCCTGAAACCCCTCTTCGTTATTAATTTCTGGATACGACACGAGAGGTATGTACAATTTTCACCAAAATCTGCATTTTTTTCCAGTCCAAAGCTTTAACATTTTTGTGCAGACCAACTTTTGCGATTTTTTTATAATTAGCCGGTGCTCACTAAAGCGTAAACATTGTCACTAGTTTAATTGCCATCTGACTGAATGTATAGACCATAACCCATAATTTCATAAGAAGAAAACCTGCAAATAAGATGAACTTAAAATTCTGTAGGAGATTTTCGAATTGTGTATTCCTTAATACTCACTGGATAACAAGACCTAGATCCAGTAAAATAGTGTTTAGCTCGTAATAATAATTGTCTAAGCTCAACACTCAATTTGAAACTTCGTAAATAGTTAATGTTTGTTGGGGATCGGTCAAAAAATGTCTTGAGTTTCGCAAAAAATTTGCAAGCATATCCAGTTGTGGAGGTGCCATGCTATAAAGGTTTGCCTGACTCACTATCCAAGAGTTAAGGGTTCGAATCCCAACCTGGTAGTCACTTCCTTTGGCATGTATGGCTTCGTTGGCTGCTCAGCTGTTATGACGCAAGGAGCGTCACAGCGTGACGAATAAGAGCAGCTATACAAGACGCCACCATTTTTTAGTATTACATTATCATACTGTGTGCACGGTGATATTACTGACGTTTTCGTAAAAACGTAATGTTGATTATACTTTTTCTACGATGTGCATTTTTGTCTTCAATCTTTTTCAACACGCTGAAGAAATGAAGGCAGCCACGTAAACATGTCCTATAAGGAAGGTTCATGTTTATTACATGCTTAAGACTATATTTTAGGAACGTCAATCGGAGCTTGTTTTATTTCATGTTGATTAACATATAATGATAATACTTATGTCTTATTTAACCCAGGGAAGCCGCATCAGTAATAATACTTGGCTCCCTCTTGGCCCTGAAAATTACATTACCCTAGCAATACCTGTGTGAAAAGTGGCAAATATTGATTAATGTCTAACCAAAGGACCTTAATGCCGGGCTTGGATTCAAACCCTAAACTCTCGGATTAAGAGTCCAGGGAATGAACCACTTACCACGACACCAACATGTCCTCGATAGTGGGCAAATGGCCTTAAGAAAACTACACTCTTTGTTCACAACAGGAAATGACAAAAGTCTTTATGATCTGTTAAAAGACGTCACTCTCCAGATTATGAGTGGCACTGAGGAGTGGGCCTTAATAGGACACCACGTCATGTTGCCTAGAAATAAAATAGGTAAGTGGTAATGTCTGAAAATCTGTAATGACTTCATATGCACTCATGATATATCAGAAAGTAACTTTAACATTCAGCGGCAGCTGAAAGTAGCTCGCATTATGGTCCTTTTACCTGGTTACTTTGCCAACAGTATCTACTTGACAAATTACATCCAAATGGAAAAGATATTAACCTGTGTTTTTTCGCAATTGAGAAACAAGGCTGGGAGCTATCAAAGCTTAATGTTGAAAGTGTGATATTGTTATGGTGAAAAGACTTGCAAGTCGACTTTCGTTTGTCGGCGAATCCGTACCATCTTTCAACGAATTAAGAAAATTGATGGATGATTTGAGAGCAAAATTATATCCCTTCATTTTATTCGTATTCTCGAACTGAGAAGTAGGCCACACTGCCTACATAATCGTGTTGGTAACTTCAACGTTCTTATTAATGTCACCACCTGAGGGGATTCGAGGCAAAACATTTTAGTCAGATGATTAGGGTAGATTTTCGTCTAACCTTTTGAATACCATTTTTGCTTTCCTATAAACCGTATGTGGTAAGGCGAATCATTACAATTTCCATCTGATTGTAACTGTTCTAGGGCAATGAACCAATTTATTTAAAATCTGACGAACTTCTAGAACATCTAAAACCTCGCTCGTTCAAAGCGTTGTTTTCCTTGATATTTCATGTAGCTTACGCCTAACCAGTTTTTAACACAGTGGAATTAATGACCCTCGTATTATTCCTGTTATACATATACCGCTCAGTTTTAGTTAAGGAGAGAAACAATTTTTATGTGAATTGCTAGGTAACAATGAGATAATAATGTTATGAGAGATATTCATCGGCGATGGATAGATCCCTACCAATGATTGATGGTCTCAAAAGCGATTTAAGGAGATAGTTTCATCCATGAATTGATTCAGAAAATAAGTAAATGCATCTCAAGATATTCACCAACAGTGCATTCAAACTTGAGGCCCGTTGCACAGGAGGCGCCATTTGACTACGCCCAAAAGATCCAGCTTTTCTATTTAATAGAATTCTTGCGGCAGAATGAAAATAAACCGCAACAGCCCCTCCCCATCAAACCAAATAATAACGGCCGCGCACTATTTGTCTTACAGAATCTTCTGTAAGCACTCATTCATGCCATTGGTTTGCAATGACTTGTTTGCCAGTTTGCTGTCAAGTCGTATTTCCGACAAACGTGAACCTTGTGCCAGGCACCTGGTGCATGGAATGGGGTTGCGTCTGAGCCCAGAGATTGCATCTGGATTTGTTCTGTGCATTTATATGCCTGAATGACTGTGAATGACGCAATGGAAAGACGCATCGTGAGCAACGGGCCGTAGGACTGTTACTAGTCATTAGTCTATGTTACATAAATACTGTACCTAAGCTCCCACCTTATCAAATGATCCTGATGATTCGTATTTGGGTAGTCTGTCATCGTCCATCTTGGTTGATGAGGCATCGCTATCCGATCTCTTCCCGAAGAAAAATCCGTTACGTTTACCGAAGAAAAATCCGTTTCTCTTATCCTCGTCAATGGGCGTTTCCTCCTCGTAGTTTTCCCTGGGTGAGTTAACAGCGCCCTCTAGTATGAACAACTGATCTGCCGTTACGTCTGCAGGAAGCTGCTGCATAGGTTCTTGGAGGCCGTAGCCTGTGATGTCGCTTCTGTCTCTGCTTCGTGATGATGGTGATGCGTTGTGTTTTCTAAGCACGTTTCTAAGGTTACTAAGGAGCTCGTCCCTCCACTGTTCGTTGCTAGTCTTCTCCTCCGCGGGACCCATTCGATTTTCCCGCCATTTTTGGATAAGCGGTGACGGTACTATATTCCTGAATTGCTGTGTGCGAGACAACAAGGAAGGAAAAACAGATAATCATTGCTGTATGTATATAATAGCACTTACACTATCGTAAGAGAAAAATCCACCAAGGACAAGAAATCATCTCCGAAGTTTTGTTACAGCACCTATTCCCTTGGAAGAATATGACAAAAGTTGTTAAGCCCGATATACTAAAGACGTTCTACCGTTTCAGCACCCCAACCAAATGTTTGCTTTAGGTATATATTTTCGTAAACCGATTGAAAGAAATTCTCGGCATTTTAAAATAATATCAAACTTGTATTACTGTACGATTTCTTTGTATTTTGGATCTCTCCACATGCACTTTCGTTTTCCGTAAGACATGATTGGCATTAAATATACAAAATATACAAATACGATTTAAGATGCAATAATTATTAAGGACTAGATATTCATAGTACACTGGATTTTATGTAGGTCCATGACGAAGTAATAATTTATTTAATCATGACGGAGAATTTATTCAAGATTTAAAAGTATTTCAGGCAAGCCATTGAAATATCTGCACAGATATTATTTATATAATAACATATTATGTTATGCAGGGCCCGCTGGAAGAGCAGTTTCATAACTGAAGTGGCTACCCTGGGTAAATAAAACGTTATTATTAACCTGTTGAATACTGAATTCTTGCATTCCCATTGGTTAATACTGTCATTTTTTATTCGGTTATATACTTCTAATCTTCTTAAAGGAAGCTAGTGAAAAACCGTCAGTGTGTTACCTTCTGTTGCATAAAGTTGCTATCTCTTTCTCCATAGACTGTGACGAATGATGCTAGTACTATTAAGATCGACAATAACGTCCGCAGTATCCGTCTCTCGTAGCCCATCTTTTCCTTCGGTACCTTCCCTTAAACCAATCGACCTGCGATCTGGAAGAAAGAAAGATATATAATGATGACAATTCAGCAGAATGGCGGGGAAAATGCTCCTACGTCTAAGGTCTAGACACTAACTTGAAAATAATAATTGGCAGGTCGAAGGTATATCTCATATGTTACAAAGTGTTAACTAATTATATTATGGAACGGTGAACATAAATTTGAAATTAGACATCAGTTTATTTCAAGTTATGTCCGGCTCAAGCTCTTGTAGTACTGTATTCTCTTGAAATGCAGTTTAATTCCGGTCGATCAAATCAGCTTTTTATGCTGTTTATGTAAGAACATTTTTACGCATGAAGTGGCTTCAGTTCCTAAAATGTCTTATGGTGACGTCAGCGGCTCGCCACAGCAGCGTTGACAAACCATCGGGTAACAAAGAGCATATTATGATGACCAAAGACTCAAGTTATTGATGACCGTGAGAGAGGCACAATAAAGCACGTTCAACACACGTAAGCCATTTGATATCGCTCCGTACCTACCAAACGGGGACGCCTTTGACAAGTGGTTATCAATCGAATGTTAGAACCGGATATTGTGTGTGTAGATGTTTGGAATAACAGCCTGTCAGCTGATTTGTCTAATGTTCACACTTTAACTTTAACACTTTAAATTGTCAAAGGCGTCTCATCAAATTCATAAAAAAGGCAAATTAAATACATTCTAACATAGCATGACTGAAATCTTTATAATCGATATCCGACACCGTTTTTCCTTTCAAAAACACTGCTCATTGACAAAAACGTCATGTATGGTGTTCTAACATCTGTCGTCACGATTCATACATCCGATTCGTCGCTGTTAGATTATTTTGTCACCATTGCCGTCCATAGTGAAGAATCCCTTATATTTTGGGGATTCCAGACTATTGATTGGTCTTAACTGAGGATAATAAGTTTGCCATTGACCGTTATGTCACATCACAACCGGTGCAATAGCTCATTTTGCTTGTTTAAAACAAGGACCTTTTTAGTTGTCGAATACTCCTACGAATAAATGCATTTTTACAGGCTATTTTTTCAACTTCTAATGAGTTTTCCCTTTACAAAAATTCATGTGATGGGTATAAAAAATAAAACAAGTATTGATTGTTAGTTTGTAGCGTAGTTTAAAGTAGAGCCCTGTGTGATCTCAAGTCTGCATGGGCCTACTGTGCAACTCATCTCGGGGCATAGCAGTTACGAACTCCCTTTCTGCAATAATCTTAACCACGTCCCGAAAAAAGTCAATATGTGAGTGTATTATTTTCCAGGACGAACCAGTATTACATGCGGAAATTCAAACCACTTAGATTACACTTACACAACATATTGCACAGCACCAGGGAAATCAGTAAGACCACTGGTTTCCTTCACGAGCAACATGCATAGTGAAAGCAAACATCTCAGTAACAATGTTATTTTTTATACCAGTTGTAAAATAATGCATTAACTTGAAGGAACGAGAGGTAAAAGTTAGAACCTGGATTTAGCAATTGGAATCGGGGAAGGAGTGAGGGAAGCAAATAAGAAATTAAAAAAGTAAACGAAAACGCCTTATTAAGATACAACGATCTCAATATGATATGAGTAATACAAAATCAATCATCTTGGATTTTAAAAGTGAGGCAGGTTGATTGTCAAACAATGTCCGACTACTTTAAACCCATGGGGGCGGATCAAAAAGGCGCTAAAATAATTTTATGACGTATTTGTCATCATTAATGGGCATTACAGGTAATGCAATTGATTGTCAAACAATGTGTGAATACCTTAAACTCTTGGGGGCGGATCAACAAGGCGCTGAAATAATTTAATGACGTCTCTGTCATCAATAACAGTTCAATTCAATAATGATGGTTTTATTAAAAAACAATGCCTCGCAGCCAAAATGCTGAATTGTGCATGTTTAAATGTATACATGAGCTTCATTACATAACATTATATTTCATTTGTTACAATCATTTATTCAAACAGTATTGGTAACATTTAACAGTATTCATGTGTAGCATTTAAAACCAATCACTATATATTATTTACATTTTTAAGATCTATTAAACTTCACAATAGTAATAACAACAATTGATCAAAAGCAATACAATACATAACATACAAATAAGTAAAAAGCTAATACTGAAATTATTGCACCTGTGTCTTTAACAATTCATATTAATTGAAAATTAAAAGTCAGCAAAATGTTGCTCTATGTTGCCTGTTCATCAACGGTAAGTACATAATTATAAATTGATGTCTCTGTAAAAAGATAAACATATTCCAGAGTCGGTTGTAAAACATGGTTTCCTACATTAAAACTAAATCACAGTTGGGTATGTATTAAAACAGGCATAACAGGTAACGCAATTTTATATATGATTACTTGTGAAATGATGGCAAATATTTGTTCAATTAGTGAAGAAATAATTGGATCTTTGAAAGCGCGACCGTTCTCAATATTTCTCTTTCCGCTAATGAAACTACAATTTTCCGTTTCCCTTTGATGCTCCCTCCGCTATGAAAGCGCTTACTGTTAGAATTATGGTATCCTACCATCACCATCCTATCCGCTCCTGGTTAAAGCAAATACTGTTGTTGATTATTTGTTACATTGGAGCAGCATCATTATTCGCTCGAATCCCCTTGTCAACTCGTTTTACCATCAATTAGACTTCATCAGGGAACATTGATTGGGGGAACTCTAGCCGCTTGATTGCTCATTTTATGGTTCGCCTCGCAACGTAGATTGCTGAGCTCACCCGACACAAATTTAGGGGTAGATGGACAAAATGAATTGGACAAAATACATGCGACTAGCATTGTGTCATCATATTACGCCTAATTCCTGTTTGGAAAAGTGTACGGATTGTACATGAAGCCGAAGGAGGCGCCAGGAATATTTTATTTGAAAGAGGAAGTGGGGGGGGGGGGGGGGAGGGGCGGTCTTGTTACACTAGATTTGCAAACAGAAATGTATACTTTTCTTTAAAAACAAAGCAACAAGGTAAATAGACGCGCGAAAGAGAAACACGACGAAAGAGAGAAAGAGAGAGAAAGAGAGAGAAACCCTATAGATTTAAACTCCACCAACTGTATTTAAGTGTGCGAGAGGGAACCTCTTAATACAGACAACACACCATCCCTTTCTTCCGATACCCAGCCTTGGACGAATCAATTCAATACAAATGAATCAAATCGAAGACAAATGCAGGCGTCATTCGGGATTTTTCGAGATCAATATCTTTCAAGGAGCATCTCAATATTTCTTGTTTTTCCCCTGTTCTTGCTGAAATACATCCAGGTAATATCAATGGCGGCGTGGGCGATTGTTCGATGGACTGGCACGCGAACCCCGTTCAGGAAGTCAAGGCAGAGAACGAACCAGATTCCAAGGATAACGGTAATCAATAGAAGGATTACCATTGGTAGAATGATTTCATGGTCAGTGCTTAGATCAGTCACGGTAGTGAGGTTTGGTAATCCAATCATCGTTAGTATTTTTAGTAGTAGCTGTAGGTTGTGATATCTCTTTTTACTACTACTAGCAGCAGCAACAGCAGCATCAACAGCAGAAGTATTTTTATCATTTTGATCATCATTATTACTATCATTATTATTATTATTATCATTGCTATTATGACTTTTTTTAATTGTATTACTAAGTGTAGTTGTAGTAGTGTTCTTTCACCAATAGAAAAAGCAAACATAACAGAGAAGTAATTATGTTTTGTGGTTAAAGTATGATTGGTAATAGTGTCAAAAGAATTGTTTCCAGTATAATCTGTGTTTACTTGAAATATCGATCTTTATAGCAAATGCCCCCCCCCCAATGTTATTAGTTTTTCACACACATGAAATCATGTTATTACCAGTGCATATTGTGATCTCGTTCATGTCGTACGTGTTTGGAGCTACTGCGCAAATCCCGAATGTTAGGAGGCCACACCAAAAGAAATGAAAGTGGCAAAACACAAATAAGGGAAAATTAACCGCATTATTTTGTTTATGAAAAAATCGTATGAGAGAAGGGACAATACGTGTAAGTAGGTTATGAATTATAGACGCCGGCAGAAAAAACTGTCAGGAAAATTTGCTTTATAAAAGAGAGCAAACAATTCTAATCATATTCCTGGTAAGGCATGCCAGGCAAACAGGCCACGAGGACCACTCTTCATCACGTGACTCGAGGGAACACTGAAGCTGGTTTGAGTCGAAGGTCGTAATTATTATCACCCCTCCCACCGGAGGGAATTCAAACACTTTCATCTTAGCCAACACACATTCCCTTGAGACGAGGTAGGACAGGTACTAATGGGCCTGCATCCTTTTGTTGATTGTGTGTTTTCGTGACTGTAATACCCGAACACTTCCAGGAGATACGCAGAGGGGTGACATCAAAGAAGGTATATGGTCAATCTCGAGAATATCTATGTAGTGTACAGAGGCGTAGCTACAGGGGGCACAGGAGGGCATGTGCCTACCAGTCGAAACAAAATGAGAAGGATAAATAGGGAAAAGGGAGAAAACCTAAGGGAGAGGGGAATAGCTGGATGAGAAACGAACTTGACAAGACTCCTTCCGCATCCTCGTGGTAAGCGGAGGCCTTGCTATTTTTGCATTTCATTCACCGAGTTAGCCAGTGCGCCCCCTCCTTTGAAGGACAATATCCCCTAAATGGCTGGACCCACGCCATGCCACTGGATGATGGTGTTCGAAGTGAGTGGGATGGAAAGCTGTATGAGCTTGTTTGTTATTCGTCAAACCAAATAAATGATATTGCGGGCGTATACGAAGGACAAGGTAAAAAAAGATTGTAACACGGCCGCTTTTTGAAGAAAAAAGTAATGTATATTGCGCTTTTTCCGCTGGATACAATTCGCTGTAAGATGTCATCTCACGGCCAGCATTAAAGTTTGATTAGATGTAATTTATCAAGTAGTGATGGTTTATTTTCAATGATCGCATCGTAAATGTTTGTTAGAACGCAAAACGCCACCGCTTTTTTTTGATGATCAGTTTCAGAAGTTATCGAAACTCATTGACAATTTCTTT